TATTTTATCACGGTTATCATTGATAACTTATCAAGTAGTTGTAAATTGTAAATTAAAAAATATATAAAGTATTGACATTTAAAATAAAATTATTATATTTAAAAACAGAAAAATTTTACTATAATAATTAATTAATTAATACGCTTAAACAAACGCACAGCTTGATTCCGCGGGCGCACTTCACCTGCGTTTTCCATAAGCTTGATTGCAACCACTCTACCACCATTACTACCTGTATAAAACCAGTCACTCCAAACACCCGGTTTTATTTCAATTTTGTCAACGCCACGGCTATCTGTGTTTTCTAACGAGGTGACTCTAGGTGCGTTTTCAGCCTGTGGACCCTTGCCAAACTCAAGACTGCCGTTGCCTTCGGCCCGAAAGAACTGACCCGCGTATGTAACCGTTACATCTGACCACGTGTATGCGGGCCACAGTTTTTTGGGCTCAGCTTGGTCGGGCAATTGAACGTATATAAATCCATCAGGCACCTGGTTATTTTCTAGCTTTGTAATTCTGGGTTGATGTTGACTAATGTCAGCTATATTCTTGTCTACTAAGCGACGAAGGTTCCTGATCAAACGCTCTGTACGCTGGCCTGACCAGATCACCACACGTTTGCATATATAAGCGTTTTTCTTGGTGCATGGTTCATCTTGCCATTTACCACGATTAGCTTGATCGACAACCATTTCCACACAGTTGCTATCATTAACGGGTCGGCCAGACATCCAGTTCTCGTATTCAGTACTGCTTTTGTCGGCCCATACGATGTGTTTGTTTTTTATGCTGGCGTCGAGCCATACATTGTCTACCAGTTTGTATTTGACAATCATTTTATTAAGAAAGTCTTGCTCTGCTTTTGAATTAATTGTTGACAGCGATGAATCGTTAATTTTTTTGCATTCTTTGACCATGGTATGGTAGTCAACCAAATTTGGTGCAAAATATTTATAACATATATCGTAGTAATCGTCGTGAAATAAGTCCCAACCATCGCCGCATACGCCCTCGGATGCAGTCAGCTTGCCTAAATAATAGTGATTATGGTAAACCATTGTGATTATATTCTTATATAATATTTTACTAAATTATTTTAATTAATGACAGCTTAGTCCTGTCTAATATTAATGTAATTAATACATACATGTACATATACAGCATAATAATAACCAAAATAGATATATAATTGACATTATTATTTATTTCTATTCAAAATGTTAATGTATTATATAATAACGGTGTTCATTGATGTTATATAAAATTCTCCTACTATTTATACTATTAAAATATCTGCAAATAACAGAAATATTTAATCAATAATTTGAAATTACAATATTTAATTATTGATTAGCTAGATTATTATAAGTACTATGATTAAAAAAGACAATCATTCTAAATGAAAGCAATTACTTGCATGGAAATATTTCTCACGATGATTAATTTATAAATTAATATTTATTTTATTTAATAATATAATATATTAATTAATGCATCTTATAATAATCATGATTTCAAATCAATTCTGTATTATATTATTAATTTTATCAAATATTTAGTTATTATATAACTTACTAACTATTGTTGCTTAAATATGGTGAGATAAATCGTTTTACGAGATAATTATTTTACTAAATAGCTATTTAAAGATATTCCCACGATAACTATATTTAATTAAATTTTTGCATTAAATATAAGTGTACCGTTTATATGATTGTTTATTCATATAAGTAATTCTCAATTATCCCATTGCCAGATAAATGTAATGAATTGTAAAGTAATTATCTTTATATTAATAAATTATTTTCTTATTACAATCAATACCAGCATTAAAGACAATTTATTTGAAATTGATTAAATTATAAAATTAAAATAGATAATTTTATTTAACAAATATATTTTATTAAAAATATAACTATTTAAATAAATTTTAAAAATCAATATGGTCTGTAAAATGACACGTATTAATAAATCAATTTATTAATATTTTTCTGCATAAGGTGTGATAAAAGGATTAGATTATTGCACTTTTTGATAAGTTATTTAACCATAGTAACTAATCTAATAATTAAAACATAATAAAAATTGACAATTTTGAAGTAACATACATTATTATCGTAAGTTTTCAATAATTACTTGAGTTTATGTTGTCAACACATTTGATATACAATTAGAAATAAATTAGAGTTTAATAAAACATTTTTTGTATTTTACGTATTTTAACAAAACTACAACGAATAATGTGTAAAATTATAATTAATTATAACATTAGTTTTGTATCAATTATTAAACTAATGACAAAATTTTATGCTTTTGTATGTTATCCTATGGGACAATAAAATTAACAATAGATTACTTTAGGTATGTAAACATATACAGTATAGCGTTAACGTAAAGCCACGTATTTTATTGCCATAAATATCGATTTACCAATAATAAATAACATATTTTAAAACACACTTCAAATAAAAAAATTTATTTAATAATATTTATTAGAAAAAGGTATAAATGGTTTGATAATCATATATTTAGTTATTATATTTAGATAAGATAATAATCATTTTTATATAATAATTAATGATTTATTAAATAATTAATAAAA